ATGTACTTTATTCCGAGAAGACAGGGAATTTCATATGACTGTCTATTCTAGAGCTCATTCTCTTTTATTGAGCCGAATGGAAAACGTGGGGTTTTCGATGAATCAATGTCTGAGTTTTCTCATAACTGAGATACTCACTAGCTGTTGTAGCTACAAAAGAACAGTTACACTAATCTAATGTAACAGATCATTGTTCTCTCTGGGTTTCGACAGCTTATTTCAAAGACTACACTTCGTCCTCTGTCCTAAATTCTTAATACAAGTTAAATCAAGCACGAAAAGCATGACCGAGATTGATCTAACACACAAAACACCCCACAAAATGTCCACATCTTGGAAGTAAATCAGTGTTATTTAGTATCAAACACTACATTGTTCATCAATGTCTATAAAGTCCCAAACTTTCTCCTAACCACACACAAACTAGGGCAGAGTTTCAAATCAAGACCCCTCTAGAATCACTAATACTGCGTGTTTTCAGATTCCATTTGATTAACTTCAGCAACAACGAATGAGGAACCAAAGGGGAAAAGGCAAAAAACAAGGGAATTATACCTCTGGGACCAGATTCTTCCTTTTCCTTCTTCTTCGGCTTCTCCACCTCCATGGGCTCCGCATTCGAGGCACTAGTCGGATTCTCCTCCGCCGGATTCGTCTTCTCCTCTGCTTTCCTCAGCCTCTCCTTCGCCGCCCTCACCGCCGCGACGATCTCCTTCTCCGCCGTCTCTTTCTTGAGAAAATCGCTCTCCTGCCCGAGAAAGTCGAGAACTTTCTCCACAAACGCAAGAGGGTTCAACGGATCGAATCTCGCGCTGAAAGAAGCCGTCGAGGGTCTACTGCTACTGCTTTCCTCCGGCATCTCAGAAATAATCGCCATGGTTTCTGCCTTTATTAGGGTTCTACCCTCAATAGACGCAGCGTCGTAATCGTTCACAGATTCCGATCAGTTTCATTGACGGCGTTGAGACAAAACACTGAGATTTGATACAAGAAATTCTCCAAATTTCGGTCTGGAGGAGAACAACTCGACCAACTCGGAACAGTCCCGAAAACGAGAGAGACAGAGAGAGCGCTTAAAGTTAAACCCTTTCTTAAGGATGGACTTGGTGGCATTTACATGCGTTGTTTCCCTGGATCGTATTTTCCAGGATCTTCAATATAGATTCCAAATCATATTTACAACAAAATTTTTCAGTAACTCTTTTTCCCAATCAGAGACTTCGGTTGTAGGCATTTTCATATTTGCACACACACAGACATATGTATCATATTACAGCAATATTTTCCAGTGACCCTTTTTCCGAAAAAGAGACTTCGATTGTAGGCATTTTTCATATTTGCACAGACACACACACACACATAATATATATATATATATATATATATATATATAAATAGATATATTTTTACCAAAAAAAAAAAGTTAAAAATCGGTAAGTTAATCTATTTGATCTTCTTTTTTCTCCAATATTTTCTCTATCTTCTCTATTTCTTATATAGTTTATCTAATCTATTTAAATAGTTTTCTCGTTGATTTTTTTTGTGATATTCTGATCATTTTTTTGCATGCATATAAGGTGTTTGATGAAATGTCTCTACCAAAAAACTGTGGCAGATGACCTGTGATATATGAAAAATGACATGCGATCTACGTTAAATGACCTATGATATGACGTAAACGATATGCGGTCTGCAGCAGGTCATTTGGCCTGCGGACATGTGGCTATCGCCCTGCAGACCTGCGGCTATCGCCCTGCGACCTACAGATATCGTCCTGCGACCTGCGGCTATCGTTCTGTGACCTCCTGCGGCCTCCTGCGACCCATTCTTTTCGACAGCTTATTTCAAAGACTACACTTCGTCCTCTGTCCTAAATTCTTAATACAAGTTAAATCAAGCACGAAAAGCATGACCGAGATTGATCTAACACACAAAACACCCCACAAAATGTCCACATCTTGGAAGTAAATCAGTGTTATTTAGTATCAAACACTACATTGTTCATCAATGTCTATAAAGTCCCAAACTTTCTCCTAACCACACACAAACTAGGGCAGAGTTTCAAATCAAGACCCCTCTAGAATCACTAATACTGCGTGTTTTCAGATTCCATTTGATTAACTTCAGCAACAACGAATGAGGAACCAAAGGGGAAAAGGCAAAAAACAAGGGAATTATACCTCTGGGACCAGATTCTTCCTTTTCCTTCTTCTTCGGCTTCTCCACCTCCATGGGCTCCGCATTCGAGGCACTAGTCGGATTCTCCTCCGCCGGATTCGTCTTCTCCTCTGCTTTCCTCAGCCTCTCCTTCGCCGCCCTCACCGCCGCGACGATCTCCTTCTCCGCCGTCTCTTTCTTGAGAAAATCGCTCTCCTGCCCGAGAAAGTCGAGAACTTTCTCCACAAACGCAAGAGGGTTCAACGGATCGAATCTCGCGCTGAAAGAAGCCGTCGAGGGTCTACTGCTACTGCTTTCCTCCGGCATCTCAGAAATAATCGCCATGGTTTCTGCCTTTATTAGGGTTCTACCCTCAATAGACGCAGCGTCGTAATCGTTCACAGATTCCGATCAGTTTCATTGACGGCGTTGAGACAAAACACTGAGATTTGATACAAGAAATTCTCCAAATTTCGGTCTGGAGGAGAACAACTCGACCAACTCGGAACAGTCCCGAAAACGAGAGAGACAGAGAGAGCGCTTAAAGTTAAACCCTTTCTTAAGGATGGACTTGGTGGCATTTACATGCGTTGTTTCCCTGGATCGTATTTTCCAGGATCTTCAATATAGATTCCAAATCATATTTACAACAAAATTTTTCAGTAACTCTTTTTCCCAATCAGAGACTTCGGTTGTAGGCATTTTCATATTTGCACACACACAGACATATGTATCATATTACAGCAATATTTTCCAGTGACCCTTTTTCCGAAAAAGAGACTTCGATTGTAGGCATTTTTCATATTTGCACAGACACACACACACACATAATATATATATATATATATATATATATATATAAATAGATATATTTTTACCAAAAAAAAAAAGATACTTTGGGAAGAGAAAAGTGATGTGTAGAACATTAAATGAAGTTAGTAATTTTTATATGAAAAAGTAATATATAGCTTCGTCAACAGACCAATAATGGAGTTTCTGATTGATCGTTGGTCCAAATTAATTGAGGAGAACTACCCACGTTTCCATTTGCGTATCAGAGCTCGCACTAAATTTACCCTGTACGACCCTTTTCTCAATTGAGCTTAACATAAATAATAATGTATATACACATCTGTATGTATATAGTTTTTAACTTTTACCACCACCGATAGCTATTTCTCATTAAATTGTTGTAACATATATATATATATGTATATGCATATGTGCATATATATATAATTAATTCGAGTATTCACTAAACTCGCCAAACAAAGAAGATCCAAGAAAATATTAGCATGCATGCCGACGCCGTCGTGAGCAAAGAAATGTGATCAAGAAAGTGCAAAAATCAACTCGTACAATAAATAACCTGTATAATAATATATTTTCTTTCCTTTTTTCGAATATGTTCATATCTTTAGAGGACTAAACCCCACACACGCTACGTTTTATCAAGAGAACGTCTATTTAAAGTCCCCTCTCAGATACCAAACATCGCCGGAAAAGAAAGAAATAGAAAGAAAATGGCGACGGAGGAGGAACCTCTCAGCCCCGGCTCACGGCTCTTCAACTCGCCGGAGTTCAACTGCTCCATCATCGTAACCTTAGGTTGCAAAACCAGAGGAAACCCTAACGCCATTATCGACGGTCTAAAGAACACTCTCATCAATCACCCTCGTTTCTCCAGCAAGTTGGTAAGTGTGTGTATATGTATAAACATCTATATTGTAGATATGGGTTTGTTTGGTTGAGTTTTCTCTGTGCTTATATTAACATTGCAGGAGATGAACCGTGGAAACGGAGGAAAACCAACATGGGTTCGGACAAAGGTGAGAGTGGAAGACCATGTCGTGGTTCCGGACATAGATCCCGACATGGAAGAACCTGATAAGTTCCTCGAGGACTATATCTCGAACCTGACTACTCTTCCAATGGATATGTCCAAACCCTTGTGGGAGATTCACCTCTTTAACCTCAAAACCTCCGACGCAGAATCCGTTGGCGTTTTAAAGATCCATCACTCTTTAGGCGACGGAATGTCTCTCATGTCTCTTTTCCTTGCTTGCACTCGTAAAACTTCAAACCCCGAGGCCTTGCCCACCATTGCCTCCAAGAAGAAACGCATCGGCCCAAGCCCTTCTCTGAACTCCATTTTTCGGTTTTTCGTTAGGGTTTGGTTTATGATTAGGTTGATATTTAACACTTTCGTCGATGTTTACAAGTTTGCTGCTACTTTGTTCTTCTTGAGAGACACTGAAACTCCTATTATGAGTAAACCAGCCGCCATGGCCCCTAACCCTAGGAGGTGTGTTCATCGTATAATCAGCTTCGAAGATGTCAAGTTGGTGAAGAACGCCATGAAAATGGTACGTCGCTTTTTCTTGAAAGAATAACTTTCCGACATGATCTATACGTTTTTGCTAATTCTCGTTAATTATTAGACGATTAACGATGTTCTACTCGGAGTAACGCAAGCCGGGATTTCACGATATCTCAGTCGAAGATACGGTAAACGAGTTCTTTGATATGAATGATCCATTAACAGTATACATTTGATGTTCCATATACTTATAATCTGCTGTAAACAGATCAAGAAGGAACACCAAAATCGAAAAAATTTATGGGAAGAATCCGTCTTCACTCTGCCATTATGATAAACTTACGACCAAACACGGGCATTGAGGTATACATATAGTTAATCCATCTCATAAATCTCTATTACAAAACAGCATTAAGCGAAAACTTGTGATCGTTATTGAATCCCCGTACGTCCATGTCCCAAAACACAGGCTCTAGCTGATATGATGGCTAAAGGGTCGAAATGCAGATGGGGGAATCTGATTGGTTACGTTCTTCTGCCCTTCTCTGTCGGGTTAGAGAACGATCCATTGGAATATGTTCGTCGAGCCAAATCCACCATTGATAGGAAGAAGCTCTCTCTCGAAGCGGTTTTGTCCTACGCAATCTTCAAATTCACCATCAACGTCCTCGGGTTTAAGGTGAAACAACGAAACTGAACCTATATATATCTTGTCGTTATTACATACACATGTCTTATGTGAAAGACAAACAAAAAAAAAAAAAAAAAAAAAAAAAAAAAGACAAAAAAAAAAAAAAAAAAAAAAAAAAAAAAACAGGCAGGCGAAGCTCTTGTGAAGAGAGTTTTTGGTAACACGACGATGACATTCTCAAACTTGGTCGGTCCAAAGGAAGAAATAAGCTTCTATGGGCATCCCATATCTTACATCGCCTCAAGTGCTTTTGGACACCCACATGTAAGTGTATGTCTGTGTGTGTATATATAGCCATGCATACGTAACATTATGATATATATTGGGTATATATTCACGTACGAGACTTGATCATGGAACCGTATGTATATACGTTAGGGGTGGTAAATAGTTTAGAAGTATAAGGGTAATTTTATCTTTTTCATATATATCCGGGTATTCGCGGATACTCATTCTCTAAATCTCCGAAACCCGTGTCTGAACCCGTCATACGGGTTTTCTCCACACTCGTTTTTGTTTTCGTTTTCATTGAGTGTCGAGTACCAGTTTTTCGAGTACCCGTGAAACCGGATATCTATAAACCCGTGGGTAACGGGTTTAAATGTCCAGCCCTAATATACGTTGTGTTGACCCGTGTAACGTTTACTTGTTGTGCAAGGCACTGTCTCTCCATTTTCAGAGCTATGCGGACAAGATAATAATCGCAATGGCAGTTGATCCGACAGTTATCCCGGACCCTCACCGCCTGTGCGATGACTTTTCAGAGTCCTTTGAGACGATCAAATCCGCTGTCTTAGAAAGAGGGTTATGCAACGAAGAGGTTTAGTTTAGTTCAGCTTTTGTCTTGTCTTCTCTAGAGATGAACATTTGTCTTCCAAGAATCAGTTTATTTCACTGTCATGCTTTATAACAAGATATTGTCTCGATTATACTGTAAGAGATCTGGTAGAAGGTTCGTTGCTGCTAATTCACATTCTTGAGAAAGACTCTCTCTTGAGCAGAGGCTTTGATGGTGTTGAGAGCCTCCATCATTTCGTCACAAAGCTCGTGAGGGTCCGGCACCACTGTCGGATCAACCGCTATTGAAATTATCATCTTGTTCGCGTAACTCTGAAAATGTATCGTCAATGCCTAACCAAATTGAAAGAGCAATTATCATTAACTGGTTCAGAGGTTCTCGCCCGGGAGAGAGAGGGAGGGAGAGAGAGAGAGATACTTGTGGGTGGCCGTAGACGCTTGGAGCGAAGAACTCAATCGGATGGCCATAGAAACTGATCTCTTCCACGGGACCAACAATGTTCGAGATGGACATCGTCGTGTTTGAAACAACTCGGTGTGTTAACGCTGATACAACCTACAAGACAGATAGATAGATCCTGATGTTGAAACATCATGTGCTTTATTTTTATGTGATCTAACTTTTTTTTTTTTTGGTTTAGAAGCAAACAACTTCGTGTCATGTACCTTAAACCCGAGCACGTGGATGAAGAAATCAATGGATGAATACATTAGAGATGCTTGGAGAGAGTTCTTCTTTCTATCCATGGCGGATTTCGCCTTCAAAAGGTGATCCAACGGGGTGTTTTGTAAGCTGATCGATAACGGTAAGAGGATGTAGCTAATGTAGTTACCCCATCTGCACTTTGATCCCTTTGCCATCATATCTGCCAAAGGCTGCAGAAGCAAAAACACCAGATATTTTAAAAAAGGAAAGTTTTGAATGTTGTTCTCGTCATAAGAAATTTGCAGGTCTATAGTGTAGAAATCTCTGACCTGGATTCCGGTTTCGGGCCTTAAGTTTACAAGAACAGATGCACGGAGCCGGGTTTTTCCCGGTAGAATCTTTGAATTCCCTGCTGAAACCCGGACCTCCTCGTTCTTCTTGTCTGAATTAATCAAGAAACCAGAGACATACAGTCCAAGAATGTTATCAAAATCCTCCTTTGCAGCTTGTTTAGGGTTTTGATTCAATGTGAAACATGACATGTTTCGCACGACTTTGCAGTATTTTACCGTATAGTCGATTCAGGTAACTAGAGACGGCGGCCTGTGTTACTCCGAGTAGAACATCGTTGATTGTCTAGCAACATTCACGACGTGCCCAGATGAAGAAAGAATAAGAACAAAAAAAACCTGACTTTCTTGAACTTCAAGAAAACCCGAAGATCCGAGCCAAGAACGCGACGGAAACGTACCATTTTCATTGCGTTCTTTATAAGTATAATGTCATCCATGGCCACTATCCGGTGAGCAAATTTCTTCAGGTTACGTGCAGTATCAGCTCCGCCCTTGAGAGACGTTTCTGTATCTGTTAAGAACCAGGCCGTGGCCAAGAACAGGAAAACATCCTCAACAGTGTTCCAGACCAATCTTATTCCAGACCAAACAGAAAGAGCCAAACTCAAGAACCAGTTCTTGTTCCTGTCCGGCGGTGGACGGCGTTTCAGGACAGGAACGCGTGGCAGGGCCTCGGGGTCCGATGTCTTTCGGGTGAATGCAAGGATGAGGGACATAAGGGACATTCCATCACCTAAAGAGTGATGAGATCTCACTATACCGAATGCTTCAGCTTCTGAAGTCTTGAGATTGAGAATATGAATGTCCCATAATGGTCTCGAGGTGTCTAGAGGGATTGTGGTGAGTTGGGCGACGTAATCTTCGATGAACTGTTCGGGGTTTGGGATTCGTTCTGGGTCTATGTCCGGGACTGTTACATGGTCTTCGACGTTGACGTTGGTCGGGATCCATCTCGGTTCCTTCCCTCTTCTCTCACATCCATCTTCCTGTTCAGACAGAACAGCAGAATCAATGAGACCAATTGTAATCTCAACTTAATATCAAACACCACAGAACATAGATTCCACAAGGTTGCAGTAAAAAAAAAAGTGGGACAAGGATTCCAGATTTCATGGATTTCTAATCGACCCAATGAGCAGAAAGATGGAAACCCACGATCGGGAATTCAACATTGATTTGACTCTGTGTCGAAGAAATTCGATTAATCTTACATGATCAGTCACCATTACCAACCTCTCCCCTCCCCTCTGCTATCACTTTAACCAGTCGCATTGGTGATTTCTACCGGAGAAAGAAGAATCTCGCCGGCGGCGACGAAGGAACCGGTGGATGCTTCTTCGCCGGCCGGCGGGCGAGTGTGTTACTAGAGAGAGAGAGATTTCCAAGTTTTGTAGAGAATCTGATCAAGACCCGAATATGAAAACTCGAAAAACAATTGGCTAGCAAATTAGCAATCGCACGTATGGACAATATGCCCACCACTATATACACACACACATGCGTATAGTGTATATGCGTGTGGTTGGTTACACAGGTCAACGATTTACCAGCTTGCTGGAGAAACGAGGGTGTTTAACGATGGTTTCCTTCAGGCCATTGATGATAACTTCGGTGTTGATATTTGTCTTGCAACCCACCACGGAGATGATGCAGCAGTCCATCCCCGGCGCGTGTAGCAGACGCGCCACCGGGCTCAACGGTTCATCCATCTTCTTCCTCTTCCTCTCCCCCCTCTCTCGTCTTGGCAACACAATAAAAGTTATCTTTTCACCATAAAAGAAATTATCTGATTATCTAATTCACATTTCATTTAATAATATTTATATATAAAATAAGAGTTCTCTAAACACGTGTCCCATATTTTTATTTATATAAATTTAATACAAAAAGTCAATGTTGGGAGTTACAATAGGAAAAGTGTAATAAATTCTAATATAGTCAGCAATCCTGAATGAAAATAAATAAAGAAAAAAATTTCCGTATTCCAAAGATAAAATTTTCGTATTCCAATAAATATATGCATGTTATAAATGTTTTGGTGAAAATAATACAATTTCAATTAAAAAAATTAGATTAATATTGACATTGTTTTGTCAAATTAAAAAATATATGCATATTATTATATATATATATATATATATATATGTATATAATGAAAGAGATCATCACGATATTGATAATTTTTTAAATTAAATCTTTATGCATGTTATTATATATATATATATATATATAATGAAAGAGATCCTCAAGAAACCAAGGATTTATATATTTCGTTGCGGTGTCTACCTAATAAAGCTTTGTGCTATCATCTACGTCATATTTGCAGAAGCTTCATGGTCCAAATTTTCTTTTTGTACTTGAATCATACTATTCAGAGTTTCTGCAAGTGCCAATAATTTTAATTTTCTAGCTTTTATATGCTAATTATGGTTGACCAAAACAATATTTCTTTGTTTGCTTCTTTTCCTTTGTCATTCTTTGTTTGGAAATTTTTGTCAATCTCATTCTTCATATTTTGTCTATAGATTAAATTAGTATCATTTCAATTTTTCTGGAAAGGATATGATATATCAAACATTAATATTTAATTCTTAAATATGTATAGTGCATTCAAATAAAATATAAAAGTAAATTTAACACAAATTACTTTATTTCATGGAGGTCTATCTATATTAATACATTAACTTTAATTAGAATTAAAAAATTAGATTTTACCAACGTTAACATTAGAATATTAATTTTTTATCAAATTAATTTAAATATCAAATTTATGTAATCTTTTCATATTCATTACCTAAATTTAATGTACTTATTTAATTGATAATCTTAGTTTTATGTTGAAAATAATTATGTACAATTAGATAAACAAAAACTAATCAATTAAACCAAAAAATATGTAATTATATTAAAAATATTTTTAATATAAAATCATTAAATTTAATTATTTCTTATCAATAATTGGATTTTAAAATAGACAATTTAAATATAAAAATGTTACATAATAGGATAAAAAATAAAAGCTTACAACAAAAATGATATAAAATAAAAATTAAAAAAGTGTTATAGCATGACATGAAAAAATAATTACATGATGCATATTATATTTATTTTGGAAAATAAATATATTGAGTACATCTTAATTATGAATGTTTCGATTTTTGATAAATATCATTAGCATTTGATAAAAAAAATTCTATTAATATTTTTGTTAATTATTATAAATTTAAAATATGTCTAACGAAAAATGTAAAAATTGTTTACGTTTTATATGGTAGGTAATAGAAAATATTAATTTTGAAGCCCAAAAGTGCCCTTAGATACCACTAGGTATTTGTTTTGAAAGTCTTTTACAGACTTACGAACAATATTTGAATTCATATTTCAACTGAAATGTTTATCCAGAGTTATAGTAAGACGAACAATATAAGGTCAAATAAATTAAATTGGGATAATAAAAATAACAAAAAACAAATTAATAAAATATAAGGATACAAAATGAAAAAAATCAGTTAAACGGGATTTTAATTCATATTTATATTTAAAAATAATCAAATCTTAATATATAAAAAAATTTAAAGACTTCGAGTTTAGACCAAATAAAATAAAAAGGTTGTATTATTTATATTATTGTCACCCTTTTATAGTATGGGCCAAATAAAAGGGTGATATTTTAAAAAAATTATCATTTTAATTTAAGAATATAAATTAGAAATTCAAAAGCATAATATAATATATTTAATTCTAAAACTAATTATAAATTTATTTATAATTTATATATATTTTTAGTTCGCGCGATGCGCGCGGATTAATAACTAGTATTAGTAATAATATTCAATCACATGCTTTCTTCTAAAAATAATCGAATCATTGGTCAGGGTAGCGGGGAAATTAATGATCTTTCCTTTTTCATTTGATTATTTAATTTACTTATTATTCTTTTTTTTTCGCGCGTTATTTGACTTGTCCTTCAAAGAGCAACTCTGTGCAGACGTGGCGTCAGACGCGTCTTCAGTTAATTTTCATTATTTATTTAATAAATTTTTGAATGCCGTATTTTATAATCATTACGATTATTTACTGTTTATTAATCCACACCGCATTTAGGTATAAATGCCCATAAATGGTATTTTAGTAGAAATAATTTTTATGATCGTAGGTACAGAAAATAAGGGTTTCGGAATTCTAAAAAAAAAAGGAAAGAAAATAGCTTCAAATTTGATCTGAAAATATATTTTTTTTCCTTCATTCAAATTTGAAATATATTCGTAGACTATTTCTATATTTTCTTCTGGATTCAAAGTAAATAATAAGTATTGATTATACATATGCAAAACGATTGAACAAAAAAAAAATGTTTTGATAACAAAACAGACGATTTGTTATTATTTTTGGGTTATTTATATTTTTACACATCATATTATTGTATTTAAAAAAAATATAAAAATTTGATTTTAAAAGCGTTTCTTTGCAAAATGTGTAAAAAATTAATTTGCAAACTCATCGTCTAGCATGAATGCATTGTTCAATAAAATTATGGAAACATCTTAAACAAAAATGTTTCTCTTAGCATTTTTTTGTATCTGCCCAAAATGGTCATCTGGTGGAGTTCGTGGACATATCAGGCCCATTAAGAAGCGGGCCCAATAAAGCAATAATAACGGGCTTGTATAATGGGCCCATTAATAGGCTAAACTCCTTTTATTTGCAAATTCAAGTCATATGATTCCCTTACTCGATCTATTTAAAAATAAAAAACATACCAATTAATCGATCCCATTATATAACCTAATTTTTGCATATAAGAAACAAAACGAATTCTTACTAAAACCAATAAGATCCAGCCCATGAAAAATATTATTTTATATCTCTAGATATGATATAATTATGAAATTATCGTAATTTTTTTGGAGGAATGTAGATATGAATATGGAATATTTGTCTCTAATCAACTAAAGTATAATTATTTTATATCTTTCACACTACAAACATTGGTGAATGAAAACATCGCTCCATTATTATATCCATATATATATATATATATATATATATATCAATTTCAATCTTTATTTTAGTAAAACAATCTTACGATAGAATTCGATTAATTAAAATCTAATATAAAGTAGATGCATCATGGAAACCTATAGAACATTTTATGGTAGTCATTGATTTTTGTGTGGCAAACAATTTCGAGATTTTATTATTATTATTTGAGGGTTTATCTAGTATACATTTTTAGGCCACGTGTTTTGATAATAATAATTATTTGCCTATAATTTTATCGCTTTCTGTTCCCCAACTACCATGAAAGTGGGCGCATATATATATATATTGCTTATAATGTTTTCATTATTTATCCACGCGTACCCCTCTCGATTCAACATTTTTTCTTAAATTATATTCACATGAAAATTCTCCTGCCAGAAAGAAATATTGAGAATAATCATTTCTCGCAAGTGTGTGTATACATATACACATATTATGACTTATCACATGAGAAAAAAAAAATCCCGCATAAATAGAAAACTAGTTTATAAAATCTAATCTAAATATAGAAAATAAGCTGCTTAATTATATATAAGAGAAAAGGAAATTATTACGATATATTTTGCATTGCCCCATCACCTTATTATATCAACTATTCAAATTTAATTCATGTGATGTAATGTTTATTCTATTTAATTTATTATAGAATGAAACACTTTCAATTTCATGAAAGACCCCAGCTTTATACGCACCAATCATAACAACAACAGCTCATTTAATAGTAGCCACCAATCAATACCCTTATTTATTTTTTATTAATACAGCTCATCATCATCATCATCATCATCATAATAATAATAATAATATCATAATAATAATAATAATAATAATATTATTATTATTATTATTATTATTATTATTATTATTACAGTTTTTTCTGTGCACATACCTTGTGATACACTGATAGATATAATCATAAATTCGATAATTAATGATATCTAACAATTTTTTAAATCAACATAATTTCATTAATATATGTGTATATATATTAATTGGAAGCAATGATTGCTGCGATAATTGGAAGTTTTTTTTATCATCTTTTTATTTTGATATGGTAAGAAGAAATGATTATTGAGACGAACTGATATAAAAGATGTATTTATTCGAGATTGTTCGGTTTTTAATTTGTAGATTTTGTATATCAATTATATATCTTACCTACATTTTTGTATATTGTGTATTGTATTTTTATTTTTAAAAAATAATTTCTCGTCAATTTTCTGACAATAGCTTACGCATTGGTTATATACTTAGTGTTAGTATCTTAGTATCTAAATTCAGTAAAAAAAAATCGAGAAATCTGTAATCTAACGGATCAAAATTAATTAGTAAATTAATTGTGGAATAAAATATAAACTAGATAATAAATTTTTTTTAAAAAAATAGCAGAACTAAACTATTTCATTGTCACATCGCCACTACTAATAGAAAACGAGTACAATTCCAAGAGGTGTAACATTGATGGGACGCGAAAAATAATTTTTATGACAATCAGTGCCCAAACGCACCCGGTTTTATCATATAATTTTAAAATTGAAAATGAATAAGAGACATAACCGGTTTAGCGCTTTTTATTATGCGAGAAAAAAAGGTCCTACAATGATTAAGACAATTTTAATTTTTTCACCAACTTGTTAGATCAACATCTATTCCTATAATATTCCTATAATATATATACACGTAATGAAAATAATGTAAACTGTCTAAAAAATAATATAACGTATTATTAGAAATTTAATAAATAATTTCAGAATTTAAAACTATTAAATGTATACATATATAAATTTAAAAACCTTAATTATCTAAAGAAAGAACTATTATTTATTTACCCAATAGGTCGTGGACGAGTGGTCAACCTTGGGGTAGGAGGTAACTTCACCTCGACGTTAAGTGTTCGATTCCTGACAGGTGGGGATGGAAGTGATTTCTGGATTTATATGATCCATATACAAAGGTTATTCCCGGGCCGGAGGTTTATCTAGTCAGCGCGTCCGAATGGTAGTAGCTAGGGGTCCTCCGTTATAAAAAAAAACTATTATTTATTTATAACTTATTAAAAAGAACTATTATTTATATCAATTAGAAAAATATTTATAAAATTAAAATAAGTTATAATTAAATAATATTAAATATTTCAAAAATCTCAATTTTTTTAATTCACATCATTTTAAAATCGAAATGAATAATTTAAGAAAATATTGATCACCAATATAATGTCATATAAAAAATAATTTCTAAACTAATTATATAAATAATACACAATATAACCATATATATATATACACACACATATATATTATAATTATAAGCCAAATTGGTTGATAGAAAAGTCGAAGTAGAAGCACCATATATGACAGAACCAAATTGGTTAGTCATAAATATTTTTGTTAATTGAATTTTAATTCATTTATTGATAGAAAATTAAGACATGAAAAACGTATTCGGGTCGATCTCTTTATTATTATTGTCGGGATCACTCAATAATTTTCCATGACTTTGTCAATGATCACAAATCGGAGTCATCGGACTACTAGAATCAGAAACACAATACCACAACTTAATACTATATTCAAAGAATCTAACATTTTTTTTTACATTTTGTTTTATATATTTATTTATGCGTCTTATCTTAAAAAAATGTGTGTATTTATAGAATTCTAAGGACTTGAAATTCCACTATTTTCAACGCATGGTGGAAATAGTGGGAAATAATGGCTCATAAATCCAATAGAATCAATGCAAAGGCACATGCCCTTTTCTATCCCTTCAATTATTAGTTTTGTCTAATAGTATGTTGTTATAACTACTAGTGATTGTCCGAGATTGAACGTGATTAGTGTCGGTGGACACTTTTCAATTTGCTTTTTCTGCTCTTCCATTGCTATCGCCCTTATATTTAAATATCGATCATCTAATGATATTCTTTCTTCCTTTTTTTTAAAAGGGTAATCACATAAAAAATTAAATTGTCTTAATCATTGTAGGACCTTTTTTCTCGTATAATTATTTTTATTGTAATATATATGCATTAGTAATGATATATATATATAGATATATTGTAGTTATGTGTATATGTATTTTATTAATTATAAATAATTTTATTTTTAATATATATATATATGTATATATATATGTGAATTTATATGTATATATTAATTTAAATATATGTAGATGAATATTTAAATATTTAATAATATTTTTGAATGCTGAGTCAGCAGTTGCGTTTGTTTGATTTGGAAAAAATTTAAAAGTTTGAGTATTTATGTGGGAGTTTTGAAAAGTTCAGGTATTTATATGACAATTTTATAGTTCGGGTATTTATTTAGAATTTTTGTAAAAGTTCGGATATTTTTATGCGATTACCCTTTTTTTAATTTCCTTTTCTACATTTTTATCACCCAACTTTGTATCTCAATCCAATATATATATATATATATATATATATATATATATATATATATATGTTTAGTACGGAGTGCTAGAGATCACAAAGGTGGTCCAATGAGGAAAGGCTTTAGTGTTTCATATTGGTATAGATATCTTTGGTATGTGACAGAGTTGGATCATCCAAAAGTGATGCAAAAAGATCATTTATTCATTACATCTACGGTAAAAAAGAAAACAAAATGTTCATTATTTGAATCATAATTTTTATTCGTTAATCCTATTTTACTCTTATATCATAAAATGATAGTTTAAAATAATGTTATTTTTTTGTAATAAAATGTCCAAGAAAATTTCGATCTTCTTTTTTGTATTCTATAAAACATCTGATTAATAATTAATGTTTGGTAAAAAAATTTATTGCAGACTATAGGTTTGTGTTTTGGGATTAGATTTAGAATTTAAGTTAAATATTTTATGAAATACCGAAATTATGTTGAGTATTTCTATAAAAATTTGGAAGTAATTCGAAAATTATTTGAAGCAGACATTTTTTAACGAGGGATTGGATAATTTTCTTACTAACAAATCACAATAGACGTTTATAACAAAATGGGGATACAAATGGTAATAGAATTTGATTAGTTATTCATAATAAATATGATATACCTTGATATTCAAAAAATTGTCAAAGATACTCTTATAGTGTCAATTCCATCCAGTTTCATAACAAGACATTAACACATGTCCAGACCGATTCTCTCTCTTCCCCCCCCCC